AGGCAAGAGTTTGTCAGACGTTTTTTAACGAAATGACGACCTTTCCAGCAGATGGTTTGGGTCTCCCAGCCCTACTGGCCACTGGGCAGGCTGGGGACTGCCCCCAGGTGTTATCCAGCCTGGCCATCTGGGTGACCAACAGCAGTGGTTGGGCTGGTGTTTCTCCCTTTTCCTCTGTCCCCTAGGCCCTCCCGGGTGTCTCCTCTCCCAGGCCCATGGTTTCCTTGAAGGTGGACGTTTTCCTGACACACAGCTCCCTACCATGGGTGTCATTGCTCACCTCTGCCCCCGGATGAGGCCAAGAGCATCCTAGCAAAGGCTCCTCTCTCTTCCCTCAGGGCCTCGGGGAATCTCTCCAGCCCCTGAGTCCCCCGGCCACCAGCTCCGTCCTGGCCTTGGGGCCACACGCTTTGCTCTGCGCTGGCTCTTGCCTCAGTTTCCCCACTAAGTCCTCAGCCTGTCTTTACCAGAGATGCTGCCTTCATGCACAGGGAGGGCAGATCCCAGAAGCTGCAGCCTGGCAGAGCCCGCCCTCCTGTCTGCCAAAAGCGTGTCCGTCACTTGCCTCCAACATGCAGCTGCTTTTTCCTCTGGGCAAATGTTCACCCCCAGTCAGCACTGAGTGGTCCCATCTGCTTCATGTGGTCCCCACAAGAACGTCCCATGAATTCCTCGCGGGACAGAGTGGCCACCCAGTCAGTGCCAAACCCTGAACAATGCTTCCTGCGGAGTCCCTGCCTGTGGGGCCTCTGGCCACCGGAAGCCAAATGCCCTTAATGGATGGGAAGGCCCGAGTGGTTAGCGGAAATGAGAGGCTGCTATTCCAGAGACTCTTGGCAGAGAACCTTGCTGTGTCCCTCCTCATCTAGGTCTTGGTGACGTCTAAGAGGTGGACCAAAGTGGCACTGGATTAACGGGAACTCCAAGGCTACGTGGAAGTGTGTTAAGTAAATACTGGTTGAATAAAATGATGTCACAGTGTTCACAACCCAAAAGACGTGGTAGAGAAAGAATGTCTTCCTCAGGAGTCTGCTGGGTTATTGTCACAAGAGCCCCGTGCGGTTCAGGAGTCAGATGCTAACCCTCGGAAGGGACAGAGAGGGAAATGAAGATGGAAGTGAGGACGATGACTGACTTAGCAATGGCAATCCACAGTGGTCTTGTGTGTTCCTGGTTTCTGCCTCATTAACTGGAACCTAAGGTCCCTTCACAGAAAATAGATCGCTGCATCCAAAGGCTTTAAGAAGAAAAGATGCCAAATATGGAAAACGGATTACAGGGTGACACAGCTCTTGCAAAAACGGAGGCAAAGGAGTGTGGGCTCTGGAGTCCGAGTCCACCAACTCTGTGGACTGGGGGCCAAACGGCTCGCCTCCCTCCGCCTGTGTCCCCGCGCCCCCAGAGATGGGGGCTAATGACCGCAGTCACCTCCAGGGCTGACGTCGGGGTTCCGGGAGGCCTGAGTTGACCATCAGGGTGACGTGGACCCACACGGCAGAAGGAAGGCCACTTCATCAGGCTACTGTGAACAAGCAAAGTCAGGAAACTTTGGGAGTAAGATTTGTCATCTTGCGGGGGAGGCTCTCTGTCTGTGCAAGCTGACTTCGTGATTATCTGCGGCTCAGAGCTTCCTGTCCTCGGTCACAGTAAACAGGGAGCCGGCGCTGCGGCGGATCGCGCCTTCCATCCCTGTTGTGGACCGTTCCCTCTCTGGTGGGTTTGCTTTGGAACCTGTCCACTGAGGTGCGTTCTAGAATCACACATCCTAGACTGGCCCAGCACGTGGCCCCTGCTTTTTGGAAAAAGCAGGAGGATGAGGCTACTTTTCCCAAGTGGGAGTACCAGAAAGATCCTTTTTTTTTTTTTTTTTTTTTTTTTTATAAGCCCCGCAGGCTGCGGACCATCATAGGTAACTTCTAGGGCCCCATAAAAACCTTTCAGAATTTTTAGGTGGTTTTAAGAATAAGAGGTCACTAGTCAAGAGGGAGAAAGCCACCCTTTTCTCTCCTCTTGACTCTGAACAAGTGCTTTCTTGAGGGAGCCAGAAGAGGCAGGTGGGGATGGCGCTGGGCTCAGAGGCTTGCCGGGCGGGGCCCGAGGGCCAGAGCCAGTCAGTGACCCTAGAAAGCGGTGTCAAAGGGCAGGGTTTTGTGTTCTGTCCCTACATGTGTCCCTCAGCTCTACGACAGAGCCCGGCTCAATCCCTATTTGCTAAATGAGTGAATGTCAATTAACTAAATGGGTTCATACGTGAAACAACTAACCCCTAAAGCAGGTGCCTTGTCTCCTCTCAATCGCATGTGTCCTTCACGGTCGGCTGTCCTCCCTGCACGTGTCCATCACACACCACGTGCCCCCCCCACCCCCCGCCGTTCTCTGCAGGCTCGCTCCTGTCCTAGCAGACACCTGCTTTCTCCAGGGCCCACCTGGAAAGCCACCACCGCTGTGATTTCTCATGGCAGGTCCCTGCCCAACTTTATTCCTCAACTGACTATGTGGCGTTAAATTGTGACTACATCCTGTCTTTCCCAGCAGAGTGTGGGCATAAGCAGGGGCGCCGGCGCGGTGACCAGGGAGCCCAGGGAGAGTGCGGAGCAGGGAACGGGTGAGAGCAGCAACCACATGGCATCGGTTCTGAGCAACGCACGAGCTCTGCCCAGGCCGCGCCACCTAAATTCTTATCACAGAACCCGAGAGCTGAACATTTTTGGCCAGTGAATTTTCCAGGAAATTAAGAAGTCTGATTAATTAACTCAGTTCCGTAAGTAAAAACCATGAAAGGGTACAAAACATCAGGAAGACCAACATTTCTTTAATAATGAAATAATTTATTTGTTAACAGTGGAACAGTACAGAAATTTACATATACACAGCAAAGATCTCTAAAACATGTAGTAGTTCTAAAAATGCATGTGCTAACTGTAGTAAAAAGCACCATTCTCTAGATCTTGACACAGGATTTACATTGGCTTCATATTTACATAAAGAAATAAACATCTGGAAACAGAATTCCATACACTCTCATCTGCTGCTCCCCTGTTTCAGGCTGTGTTTACCACCAGGAAGATGACCCCAACGTTGATGGTTAACAGCAATATGCCGGAGCACCAAGTCTAGGGACAAGGGGGTAAAGGCAAGTTTGGTTCTCAGGTAAAAGCGAAAATGAAGAATGACCCATCAGCTCACCACCCCCCACAGAATAAGAAATCAAAATGAAAAATTTGGATAAACCTTAGAATTGGGTGCCTTACTAATTCTCATTTTATGATTTTGAGAGAAGTCAAAGATACTCCATTTCTTCAGCCATTCAGTAGCTGATTCTAGCAGTGCCAGGCAGTGATTTCTTCTTTCAGAAAAATATAAGAAAATCATCCATGTAGCAAATATTAACGAAGAAATCATGATAAATCACGTATCACACACATACCCTTCCCCGTCCCCAGAGAGTTTCGAAAACAAGACATCTCACAGTCACAGAGATCTGAATGGGAAAAACCACCCCATCTGAAAGGGTCTTCGGGTCATCTCCCAGAAAGGACTTGAAAACTCAGCAGCCAGCTACCTAAGCGTACTGCATCCAAGAGTTAGACACAGGAAAAAAACCAACCCCAGATTGCCCTGCAGGAAATAGCCTTGCAGCCGTTGACTTCCTGGGGTTCAACACACAGGGCAGGTAGAGGAGGAAGGCAAAGCAGCTTGGGGAACAAGTAAAGAAGGAAGACAGATTAAAGAATAGATTATAAAGCACAACAAAAGTGGTATTCTTGCCAATACAGCACGGTATAAAAACCTAAATGTGTATGTATATACTTTTCAAAAATAAGTTTTCTCTTTAAAGGATGGGGCAGAGGCAAGAAGAAAAAAGCCCATAACACCCATTCGTGACCCCCAAGACCCCGCTAGACAGTTACTTTGACCATCACCATCCTACCTAGTTGACACTTTTCTCCTCCCTCCCGCCCCGCCCCCCCCCCCCCCCCCCCCCAGGATCTGCTCTTGGCCACTTCAGGGATGGATCAGAGAGGCCCACAGGAAACCCAGGTAAGGGCCCTTTGTTTCTTTTGGGGGGGGGGGAAAGGTTAAAGGAAAACGCTTCCCTTAGAAGAAATCTGCTCCAGGGGCCAAATGCCGGGTCAGGGTCCTACGTAGTGCTCACTGGACCGACCCTGAAATTGAGTCTGGGGTAGACTGGGAGAGGAATTTAGGTCCTGCTCAAAAAAGTGATTCAAAAAGCATCACAAACTAGCATTAGGTCTGTGACTAGACACAGGAGTCAGTGGTCACTAGCAGCACCTTGAAGAATTCAAGATCTTTGCTCAGCAGCAGAAACCCACACACAATCCCCTGGGTGCTTCGCCTGCCGTTCTAAGCCAACGGGCGGGGAAAGCTAGGCTTTCTGGGCTGTTCACAGAAGCCCCCAGATGTATTTTCTCATTGCATGAAACTGGACTACATACTCTTATTTTCTCATCTGCATTGCAATGGTATCGGTGAGAGTATAGATTTCGTCTTTTAAAATCAATTTTACATAAAAATATGCATGTGCCTATATTTACACACCTCTATAGTTACGTACAATTGTCAAAGTCTTAAAGGCTGGGGTTTCTATCTTTGCCCATCCCCTCCCTCCGACAACCCTCATAGAAAGGTTTTTCATTTTGCTTAAAAAAAAAAAAACAAAAACCCAAAACAACCAAAAAGACTTTAGAGCTCTGAACAGTCACGCTGGTGGATCAGTGAATGACAGGACAGGTTGGGCAATCAGGGCTGCGCTGAGCTGCATGAGGAAGGGGCGGGGTAGCTGCCTCAGACTGAGTTTGCTGGTTACAGTTTTGGTTAGAGAGAGGCCTAGCTCGCATGCCGATTCGGTCCACCTCTTGGGCTTTGAAAGGTAAGGTCTAACCCTGGTGTCAGTTTATCACAAGTGCATTAAAAATATATCCATTTCCACATTTATCTATGCAATCAATTTGAAAAGGACCAGACAAACAGTGCAAAGGTCAAATAATTACTGTTTTATATTGGGACAGTACATTTCATATTTCAACCAAAAGACAAAAAATGCAGTTTAACTTAAACAGAAAATAACGGCATCTCTCAGATGCCTTATTTCTAAATCGAACAAATACACAAATTCTGTTCCCTTCCCTCCCCCAATGCAAGCCCACAAGCTTTGCCCAAAGTCTTGAGTTTTCGATGCCATATGGCATCCAGCATCTTGGACTTGTGAGGCGCTTGAATGTAGCAATTAAAACGCTTGAGAGGTCTAGCGAATGGCATTTGAAAGGGACCTCAAAGTGCAGATATATTTTTTCAAACATGTTACAGGCTGAGCTGGCTCGTTGAACAGTATCACTCTGCTTAATTCAGGAAGCAGGCTTTAAAAATGCAAAAGGCATACAAGTTGTATTTCAGTGCAAATCTTTAGCTGGTCATTGGAAAAGATTCCAATAATAAAAAAAAAATCCTTTGTGTCACCTGCCCCTCCCCCCCCCACCTACCCACCCACAGCTGAAATGCAGGAAAAAAACAGAACAAAACAAAAACAGAAGTACAGATGACTTTGGAATCATTTAGGAATCGACTACTTCCAATTAAAAATTTTAATACAGTAGAGAATCATTAAAATGAAAGAACAAAAGTAATCTTGCTTTGTTTAGACCGCTCTTCGTGTATAGAATGAGCTTCCGCGTTGAGGGCGTTTGAACTTTGAGTCGTGTGGAAGGTGGAGGCGCCGGAGGCGTGGCGAGGCTGGGGTGCCAGAGAACGCGGGCGGCGGGGGCTCGGGGCAGCCGCCCGCCCACCTGCCGCTGCTTCAGCCGTGGAGCCCTTAGGTTGCAGTGCGTCTGTGGATTTTAGGAATGTTCTCGTCACTTTGTGACACACACTCTGTTTCAGCGTCACAGGTTTTACAAATGGTTCAAATTCAATGAAAAAGATTTGCCAGAGGCTGAAAACCTCGACCTCAAAAATATGAATGCAAAAATATTAAGGGGAATGAACCAATTTTGTAGATACCTACATACAAAGTTTCTAGAACATCTATAAAAGCACAAAGTCATAAGAATTTGTTTTCCATTACATTAGTTTATATAAAATGAATAAATAGTATTTATAGATTTAATGTGTCTTATGTACATATACATGTGCTCTGTTTTAGCTTAAATAAAAATGCTACAAAGTGGGAGACCACTTAAGGGAGAAATCATAACCAAAAAGAGAGATCAGCCTTTTAAACTAGAAACCCAAAAGCCTCCATAAAGAAGTTTCTGGGTATATCCAAAAATAAGGAGAGGAATTCTGATAACACTGTACCATCCCCTCCTGTTCACCTGCAACAGAGAGTAGAAATGCGGACTTTTCCTTTCACTGATGATGGACACTAGCTCAGCTAGCGCCAAAGCTCAGTTATTGCTGAAAGTTAAGTAGGAAAATAGATTAGAACTGGACCAAATGTCACTTATTTGGGGGTGAAAAAAAAGGCATAATCACTTTGTGTTAAGTGGGAAATGGAGATCTCGTTTATCTCTGAGGTAGGAAAAAAAAACGTTCCAGAGACAAGTAGCATAACAAACTTTGAGGGGAAAACGTGCCTTGGGAGAGCAGTACAGAGCGCGGTCCCAAGAACATCGCGACAGAGATTGTACCGTCTTGTTTGTTCATGCTGGAACTTGCATGAGCTGTGCGACCCCAAAGACATGTTAGCACGGTGTCCACTTTCAAGTGAGAAATACTGCTCCCATCCACACGCGGGTCGGGGGAGTTAGCACGGAGGGGGTGTGTGTGTGTGTGTGTGTGTGTGAAGGGTGTTTTCTGGAGGTATTCCGGACTCCTCACGGGGGGTGAGGTCCACGGTGCAGTGCTCTTAAATGCCGCTTTCAAAGCTTACTTTGGAGTTCTGAGATCAGGATCTCAACTTTTAAAGTTTGTTTCCTTCCGTTCGCTAAGCACAAGAACATTCGGACATTTCTGCTAGGTGAGTAACACAGCCAGAAAACTGAGAAGGTTTGCTAGACTACCGGGGACAGCACGGAAGAGGGGGAGATCGCGGAGCTGTGGAAGTTGCTTATTCGGCCTAAGCTCTTGGGTGCTTCGAACTGATTGGAATGTACGGTCTGGCAGACGGATTTTTATGGAGAGAGAGAGAAGCTAGTGGGTGCAGTCAGAAACCCACAATCCTAAGCACCTCCCGGAAAACGTTTACAGAGCTGACTCTGGTACAGGTGGGGCACGGAAGCTTACGTGCAAGGGGACTGCGGCTGGGTCCGATACACTACCTAATCCGCTCGGCCGGCACAGCCCTCCGGGAGGCAGCCGCGGCCACCCCGCGCTTCAGAGGCCCAGACACGTCTTGTGATGGTCCTGGAGCCTTACTCTCTTCACGCTGGAGCTGGAGTAGCCCTCGTCGCTGCCCAGGCTCTGCATGCTGCCCCGCTCGTCCGAGTCGCTCACGCCGCTGCTGCTCCAGTCCAGGTCGCCCGTGAGATAGTCTGTGCTTTCAACGTCCACGTCGATTTCTTCTGTGGGGAGGACAAGAGACACGGGTGAGGGCGGGCTGCGGGGCGCTCGCGCCGAGCCCCCACGCCAGCCCCGCCAGGCCCTGCTCCGGGCCCGGGGCCTAAGCGCGGAAAGGACGGACGGGCTCGTTACGGGTCTCCGTTCCTCCCCGGCGCTGCCTCTGGGGACGCGCGCGCACGCACGCACGCGCACGCAGGCACAGGCCGGCACGCACGCAGGCACGCACGCGCACGCAGGCACGCACAGGCACGCGCGCGGGCCGGGCGCTCACCCCGGTCGGAGTCCGAGCGCTCCGAGGAGACGGCGGAGCCGATGCTGTCCATCCGTATCCTCTCGATGCCCAGCTTCTCCAGCTGCCGCTTCAGGTGCCGCTGCTCTCGCTGGAGCTGGTCTATTTGGTGAATGGCTTTTCTGTCACAGTCTTCAAGTTTCTGCAAGTCAGAGCGGTAGTTGTTGGAGCCCGCAGGCCGATTTCAAAATTGCCGAGGACTCTGCATCTTGCCCTCGAGCCGCGAAATAGGGCAGTTTTCCTCAGAAGCCATTGGGGGTCAGTGGTCTAACTTCTCCCAGGGCGGGCCGGGGGCCGGGGCCTCCCGCCTCCGGCTCGGCAGCACCGACTTCGCTGCGGCTCCCTGCACCGTCACAGGGCTTCTGGGGGCTGAGCTCGGCCCCTCAAACGCCGGGGAAGAGCCAGCAGCCCCCCACCCCCCGGTCTGTGGTGACACCCTGAACCCCACTCTCTGAATTAGAGCCCGGCGTGGGCCATGCAGAAGGAGGGCTCGTCAGCTACGTGTTCTAATGATATCAACATACATATATCTAATTATATATTATTAGCAACAGTTAATATGTTCAATATATTATATAACATTATAACATATATCAACATATATATCTAATTATATCGAGTTATTCCAAATCTCAATCAACTTCTGTTTGGTAGCAGGGAACAATCAGTCTTTTGAAGTCCTGATTCCAAATTGTCCAACACAAGAGCTTAAACGCCTTTCCAAATACCACTTGTTTTTATAAATCTGTTTAACTGTGGTTATGTTGCCCTAAACAAAGGTTCTTTTTCCCTCCAGAATTGTCATGTATGCATGCCACTAACCATAATTAAAGTGACATTTGTCCAGTAATGACTAAAGGATTATTACTAGTGAGTTTTGGCTGTGGCTCGCAGGAGTCTGAATACCACTCCACTGCCTCACCTTTTGCTATTCAAGCTACGTGCTACAAGCGGACTCCCTTTCAGACCCTCTGGGAGGTGCTGGGGATACAAGGTGAGCATAAAGACCTCGTCCCCTCCTCTGACAATGGAGACAACCAAACAGTCACACAAACCATGGTCAGATGACAACTGTGATAAGTGCTAAGAAAGAAAGAGCCAATAATAACTCCATCTGTGGCAGGAAGGATATAAGCAGGTCAGCAAAAGTTTCCCTGAGCTAGTGATACCTGTGTTGAGATCTAAAGGATGACAAGAAGTTAACTAGGTGAAGAAGGGTAGGGAAAGCATACCAAACAGAGGGAACAGCACGTACAAAGGCCCTGTGGTAAGAGCATGACAAGTGCAAGGGGCTGAAAGGGCATAGGGCACAAGACGCTGCTGTACAGGCAGGTGAGGGCCAGGTCACACAGCCTGGGGCAGGCATGCTGACAGTCTGTCCTGAGCCACTGATGAATTTTAAACAGGGTGACATGTTGACTTGAGCTTTGGAAGGATTATTCTTAGGAGGCACAGAGCTTAGCTCAGAGGCGGCCAGAGGAATACAGGGAGGCCTCTGAGGAGTTCACTGCAGTAGATGATGGTGGGTGAAATGGGAGCGAGCCTGTGAAATATTTAGGTCTTGGAGAGGACTTAGATATATATGGCTACAGAGCAAGGGCTAGCAAGGATGACCCGGAGTTTCTGGCTTAATAAATGGACAACCTTTTCACTTCTACATAGGGGTAAGGAATATTCAGTTGGGTTCTGGACATGTTGGGTTTGGGATGCCAGAGATCATCTAAGAGACAGGTTGGAGGAATTCCCTAGAGGAAAGGACTGTCCTGGAGATACACATTTGCTGTCCCTCATAAACAGACAAACCCTTATTAGACAGGTAAAGCTACAAAGGAATCCCAAGGATATACTTACCTTTATGTGTAATTTGGCTTTTGTCAATAAACTCAATGTAGTGTGCCGGTTCGATTCGGGCCCAAGCGGAACTAGCCCCTTCAGCTTCTCCAGGCACAAGCGAAGATGGGCCCGCCTACAAAAACAAGGTCACATAGCACTAAGAATTTCACAGTGGGCCGGAAGGCACTCTGGAAGAACAAGTTCTAAAAGAGTAGGAAGCTGCCCAGGCCCAGTAATGGCAAATGCCACCAATGACCTCTGGCCAAATAAACAGCTTTGGAAATTAGACAACTCTGGTGAAAGCCATGGAGAAGCCCAAACTGGGGTTTTCTCAAGTCTCTTTCTAAAATAGGTGTTAGGGCAGGGACTAATATCTACTATTATTAGGCATATTTATCAGGTTATTGCCAGGTTTCTGGGTTATGATGTGACCTGACAGAACGTGCCAGGGTTTGAATCCTTTCAACCCCTACTTCCTCTTTTCCCATCCACGGACCACTAGAACCAGCACACTGCTGTATGTAGTATTTACACATGTGAATGACCTGCATGGTTATTCATTATAGCTTGCTTTAAAATAGCAAAGATCAAAACCACCCAAGTCACCAACAACAGGGAGCTGATTAAATAAATTATCATGTATCTATGCAGTGGAATACTATGCAGCGAAGAAAAGAACCAGGATGTGCTCTATTTACTACTAGGAAAGAACTCTCAGCTATATTGTGAAATGAAGAAAAGCAAGATATCAAACCATGCATACAACATGCCATCTTTGGACAAAACGGAGGAAAAGTAATTATGTTTTCTTATATGGACAAAAAATCTTGAACAATAAGAAAGTAATAACAACCGCATGGAGAGAGAAGTCAGGGCATAGGCAAGGATAAGGAAAGGGAGTGAATTTTTACGGAATGACATATCTTTTGGTTTTTCAACTATGTAAACTGCTATTCAAAAAGTAGATTTTTTTAAAAATAAGGAAAAAGCACATCATCAGCATTGCTACACCACACAAGCATGCAGAACAGCTAGAGATAACCACATGTAGGCCTTGAAGGGTGTACAGAGGTACAGTGGGACGGGGCAGGAAGGGAGAAAGGCCAGAGGAAGCAGAAGCTGCAGTGAGCCACTCAAGAGAGAACCTTTAGTCACAGACTGACCGGAGTCCCTAAAGTTTTGGAAATTAACACTTCTTTTCTTTGTGCTTTATTCGAGAACCTAGCAGATCCCGTGAATGGGAGAAACAGCCAGAAATCAGAGTTTTTGCCTCAGCCCAGCACGTCCTGAAAGCCTTCACAGGCCATTCCAACCCACAGTGATTCCTCCACTTTCTGAGCACTTAATGGTTTATACTAGTCAATGGGAAGTTCACGGTTCTGCCTGAATTGTTTGGTATTTGCTACTTAACCACTCATTCATTGCAAACTCCTCAGAAAGTTGGACTGCCACTTACTACGGTGCCCCTCCCCCCCTTAATAAATGTCTGAGTGGGTCATGTCACTATTCAGCTAGACAGTGAGCTTCTGGAGGACACAGTCCATCTCTACTCCACCTCTGCACCTTCAACAGTGCTTAGGCTCCTGGGGTTTTAGACACATGCCCACAGCCCACACACAACCACCTGGAGCAGAGTTCCCGGGAGCCAGGAGACAACCATAAAGCTTAATTTGCCCTCCGCTCCCCTTAAAATTTTGACTGTATTAGCAAAAGTTGGAACTAAAAGAAGAAAACTGCTTCAGAAAGCTCCAAGAGGTCCATATGTATGATAATGACCAAGGAAGTCCATTCACACCTTTCATATCAAGACTTCGGGATGTTCCTCCAAGGCAGATCTAACAAGTGGTGCATTAGACATCCTTCCGAGCCCCCTGCCGCCTCCGCTTCCAAGCCTCCTTCCTTGTCTAGCTCTCGAAGGAGCTGTCCTAGACTCTCTGAGGGCCCTCTAAGCCTTGACAAACTTGAAGAATACAGCAATTGCTCTTGAGCTAGGAAGATTTAATGGTACAAAAATGCCTTACTCTTTTTTTTTTTTAAAGATTTTATTTATTTATTTGAGACAGAGAGAATGAGAGACAGAGAGCATGAGAGGGAGGAGGGTCAGAGGGAGAAGCAGACTCCCTGCCGAGCAGGGAGCCCGATGCGGGACTCGATCCCGGGACTCCAGGATCATGACCTGAGCCGAAGGCAGTCGCTTAACCAACTGAGCCACTCAGGCGCCCAAAAATGCCTTACTCTTTGACAAGACTTCCACTTGCCCTGAAACCCTGTCCATGTGGAATGGTCACAAGCAAAGGCTCCCATTAGAGGTTTGCTCCTCCTACTACTACAGGAGGAAAAACTGTGTGTAAAATGTACCTGTTCACCTCGGATAATAATATTCAAGAAGAGTCATGAAAATAGATATTAGAAACACCATGAGAAAGTATAGTCACTTATGCAGTTATCCAAATTATTTCTCCCAAAGTTTATAGACAAACTGTCAAGTTAGGAAAAAAGGTTCAAAAATTAGACGTAGACATTTTTCAGCTTGTTATCTGCAAAGACTGCATGATTCAGAACAGTGTCCTATTAGTCATTTTATGATGTGGGTTTATCTACAAATATGAGTACGTAAATTTTTTAGGAAGTTTGTCTACTGATAAAAATATAATAGTCATCTTTCCATGCATCGTCATTTCTAGTTGTACAGGGAGTCTAGCCCAGAAAGTATAATTCTCACTACCCAAATGTGGGTTCTTCCAAAGAAGACTTCCAGTTGTGAAACCAGAAATAAGCCATTTGACTAATTCAAGCTAAGGATAATACATGTTCATTCAGTGTTTTTTTGGCCTGGTTCTATGAAAGTACGACCAGAGCTTTTCTGGATTTTTGTCGAGATCCAAAGCCAACTTCTGTCTTTGGTAGTGCCTGTCTTGGCCTCCTCTAGCACCTCACTGCTCAGCCCACTGGCTGCCCTGCCCACCTGCAGACATCCCCAGGCTGGCACCTAGGCCAACCACAGGGGAGGGGTGAGGTCTACAGAGCAGGCTCGGTTCTGTCATGTAATAGTGAAATTCGACTCCTGAACCAGATAAACAAGCAAACAGACTCCTCTGTAAAAGCTCCCTCTGAGGCTCCTCAACCCTGACACACACACACACACACAGAGGCACACTGCACCCTGGATCTGCAACCCCTCAGCCAGCCTTGAGAGCACCCATGAAGCACGAGATCCAGAGCAAGTAACACAAGCACCCATCTCAGCTCTTCCTCCCCAGTCCTGACTATTCCCCTGCCCAGGGCTCTGGTCAAGGAGGGGATCAGTGTCCTGTTCTGAAATAGGTCTAACTTCCCCTTGGGGAACCAATAGAGGTTTTGCCACATGTACTTAAAAGGAAGCCACTCAATAGCCCAGTCTGACCCCTACTTAGACCTCCTCCCAGCCCATCTTCTTCAGCCAGTCATCCTGTTGCCAAGAGCTGCCTCCCTGCTCCCCACCCCCAGCAGAAGGGGCTTGTGCCAAACCCTGGCTCCTTCCTGCTCCCAACTGCCTCTTCTGTTTGTGCTGATCCAACTGCTTTGTACCTAGGTCATGAACCTTGACAAACTTTCTGTGCTGACTCTTCAGAAATATTGCTTTAATTATTCTGAATGGACAGATACACCTTTGGTCTATAGTAGCATAAAGAGACCAATCTTTGATCTGAGCTATAATCAGTAATGCTCAGAATCAAGTGTGCCCTATAACTAGGGATAACTAAATTAGATACAAACTACAGTTTTTCTTCAGTAAGGTTTTGAAAAGGATCTCAAATTTTGTTTTTAGTTCTTTTAATAGTCTGAATCTGTCTGTCACCATACAACCAAATGTTAGCATGGTATGTAAGAGCAAAGGTTTGGGACCCTGGCTTTGCCACTTACTTCCTGTGTGACCTTGAGCTGATCACTTAACTCCACGTGGCATCAGCTTTCTCAGCAGCAGACAGGAACACCACGCCCGACAGGGCCGGTGTATTAACTGGGACAAGGAATGGAAGCCCCTGGCCAGGATCTGACAGGAGTGCGCTCTTACACGGCAGCTGTTGTTCTTTCTAGTTTCTTCTGTGACCGATAATTACTGGGAACAATTTGTATAACACTATAATATTCCTTTGAAAATCAACAGGAAACTCAGGGCGCCTGGGTGGCTCAGTCGTTAAGTGTCTGCCTTCAGCTCAGGTCATGATCCCAGGATTCTGGGATCGAGCACCGCATCAGGCTCCCTGCTCCACGGGAAGCCTGCTTCTCCCTCTCCCACTCCCCCTGCTTGTGTTCCCTCTCTCGCTGTCAAATAAATAAATAAAATCTTTAAAAAAAGAAAAAAATAAAATCAATAGGAAGCTCAAAAGTGTCTCACTAGGTAGATAGAAGCTATCTGGTAAAATCCAATTCTTCCTTAAAGGAAACACTTATCTTCTGTCATTAAAGAAATTTAATGGAAAACGTAACCTATTTTCTATGGCAATACAGATCTTGCTTATGCTAAAGATACTATTTTTACATTAAAAAAAAATCAAGGACAGTGAAGGAGACCATCAACAAATCTAAAAGGCAACCTACTGAATGGAAGAAGATATTTGCAAATGCCATATCCAATAAAGGGCTAGTACCCAAAATATATAAAGAACTGATACAACAACGCCCCCAAAATATAATCCATTTAAAAATGGGCAGAAGACATGAATGGACATTTCTCCAGGGAAAACCTACAGATGGCCAACAGACACATGAAAAGATGCTCAACATCACTCATCATCAGGGAAATGCAAATCAAAACTACAATGAGATACCACCTCATATCTGTCAGAATGGCTAAAATCAAAAACACAAACAAGTGGGGGCAAGGATGTGGAGAAAAAGGAACACTCTTACACTGTTGGTGGGAATGCAAACTGGTGTAGTCACTGTGGAAAACAGTATGGAGGTTCCTCAAGAAGTTAAAAATAGAGCTACCCTACTATCCAGTAATCACACTACTAGAGCAAAACAACTAAACACTAATTCAAAGGGATACACGCACCCCTGTGTTTATAAGCAGCATTATCTACAACAGCCAAAGTATGGAAGCAGCTCAAGTGTCCATGGGTAGATGAATGGGTAAAGAAGATGTGG